CCAGACTTTTCATGCTCCAACAATCCAGTCTGGGCTTGCCTCATCTTCTGCCACCAGCCCCACCCACCTAAATTGATAGATCATGTTTTTACTATGTGTTTCTCATTCATCATGTCACTTTTGCCTCATAAAAATCTTCTTTCTACTGTTGAGGAAACTAGCTTCCTGAGAGGTAAAGCAGATCCTTTTTATGTATTTATTGGTGTCAGAGAAATATGCTAAATTCCAGGTGCCCTGTATCTCATGTAGCAAATGGTATATAAATATATAAAATGCCATAGGTATATATAAGATATTTGTTGAAAGAAGGAAGGATATTTTGAGAAATTAAAGAGATCTCCTTTAGAATTTGAAGTTTTCCTAGGAGGCTCAAGTGTTAAGTATTATTCTCCTTTCAACCTTATTCACTTAACTGAGTATTTATCTAGTGTTCACCGTATTACACCCTGGAATGTAATGGAAAGCAAGTCCCTCCCGGGACTCACTCTCCTTTATTTTTTAACATCTATTTCTCTTGCTGTGATATTCTTAGTACACACGCGTGTGCAAGCGTGCGCGCGCACATGCACACACACACACACACACACCTCCACTCCTAAATTCTGCTCTCAGCTCCCACCAGCCACAGATCTGTGGTAAGTACTGTAAATATGGACACAACTGAGAAAGGGAGAAGAGCATTTCTTGTGCAGGGGGGCTTCACATCCTCTGAGACTATGGAGGTCTATTCTCTTTGGAGTTGCTTTGAAACCCAAGAAACTGGGAAGCACTTATGAATTTATTCTCCTGAGGTCTCTACAGATTTCTTTAAATAATATGGTGCTCTGGAGGGCTCTTGCATATTAAAACCAAAAGCCTAATTATATTAGTCAATGTTCCTTAAATTTTCTCTACATGATAATGTAGAAAAAAGCATTAGAAAGATGTGAAGGACCATGTAAATAAAGGTGCCAATGTCATCATCAATAAAGCTAGTAAAATATGATGGTATAAAAAGAGCCAGGTACTAAAGAAAAATATTTGATTGCAAGTGAATGAAACCTCAGCTGAACAAATCCTAAAGGATGTTCATTTAGCCATATATGTGGAATAACTAAAGGAAGAAAGGTCATAAAAGTGGAGGCTTGTGTTTAACTTTACCCCTTTTACAAGGAACTAGTTTTCTGAAATGTAAATTAGAATTTCATATCAGGCAATAAATGAAATATAAGGCTTTAAAAATTATTTTTGACTACCAAATTGGAAAAATAATTAAGATATTAATTCCACTGGAGGCAGGAGAGACATATGCTCTGGAAAATACCTTAAACACTGCTGGTGAAAATGTAAATTAGTGCAGCATTACGGGGACAATTAATGACTTTCAAGAGCCTTTAAACTGCATGCACATCTATTCCACTTCTAAGAATTTATACTTCGGAAATATAGATGTGAATAAAAAGGTAGCTATGACATGTGTATCATGATATTATTTAAATAGTGGTTGAAGTACAGAAGTTAAGAATGTATCTACAGGACACCTAGCTGGCTCAGTAGGTTAAAGGTCCAACTCTTGATCTTGGCTGAGGTCATGATTTTATAGTTTATGGATTCTAGTCCCGCATCAGGCTCTGCACTGATGGCATGGAGTCTGCTTGGGATTCTCTCTCTCCCGCTCTCTCTACTCCTACCCTCACACATGGGCTCTCTCTTTCAAAGAAAATAAACAAACTTAAGAAAAAATAAGAATATGGTATCTAGTATCACTGAGCTGCTAGGTTCAAATCCTGGCTTTGCTACTTCTTACTGTGATATTGGACATACTACTTTTTAATTTCCACACTTGTAAAATAAGGCTGTTAATAACAGATGTGGCTATGAATATTTAACAAGATACATCTAAGGCATTCAGAGCATACTAAAAGTACTCATGATGTTAGATATGTTCATTATAATGAACAATTAGAGACAATCTACATATCTAATAAATTTGTTTCATCCCAGCAATGTAGTGCCATATATCAATTAAAATGATGCTGTAGGTGAATATTTGACTTAGATGATTAGCATATTAAAGGGAAAAAGAGGGCTATAAAATAGCATTTACTATGTGCAGATGTTTACTAGACACTATCTTATATACTTGAACTTGTTTTGAATTCAAATACATTTATCTCTAAAAATTTAGCTGTATTTCACAAGGGCAAAATCAAATAGTGTTAATTTCAGTTCCTTTGTTTCCTGGGGTGGGAGTCAATAAGATTTTTTTTCCTGGGCTAATATGCTTTTGGTGCTTACTGCATTGCAATCCAAATGCAATCTTCTAATAATAAGATAGAAACTTTTCTTTACTAACAGGTAAAGTCCTTCATGTCATACCAAAGTCCCAAGCTACTATCCAGTGTCATAATGCTACTAGAGTAATTGTATACATAATTAACCAAGAAATACTATAGCTACCAGTGTTAAAGTTCCTATAATTTTTAAAAACATATATGATTCTAATAATGTTTATTATGATACTCAAAACAAATGTACTTCTAATTTAAAATAATGTGGGATTTTAAGAATGACATTTGCACAATATAAAAGTACTGCTGAATGTTAATGCTACCTTGTCCAACTAATAAGAACCACTTCAGGATATTGACTTAATGTGACTTTAGTTTCAGTGTTTTAATTGGTGATTCAATTGATTTACATAGCGAAAAGTTATACTTACTCTCTCGTAGAATATGAATCTCTGAATCCCTAAAAGATAACTATTTGTTATGCAGGTCTTTGCTAATCCAATGATAAAAAGTCTTCCTTCAATCTTCACCCCCAATTTCACTTAACTGAGCCACCCAGGTATCCCATCTCAGCCCCAATTTCAAGTAAATAAGTACTGTGCCTACATGCTTACACTAATATGGAAATATTCCAATTCTTTGCTAATATTATAAAATTAGGATCTCTGATTTCCAATAGAAATGAAAACAGTCATATGTTTGTATTATGTGTAAATGTTTTAGTACTTTCTTATCTATCTCATTTCATTATTAACAACTTTATATGCAGAATATATAAATCTCATTCACCTTGACAGCTTTGAACTTCTATGTTATGGAAGTTTTACTTAACAACTTTGGACATTCATCTTCAGAACTAAAAAGTGTAGTGATGTGGTTTGTAAAAACTCTCTGAACAGTCAGAGGGTGGTGAGCACAGGAAAATGACGAGAGAGAGAGAGAGAGAGAGAGAGAGAGAGAGACAGGGAGGGAGAAAGAGAAAGAACTAACACTCACAATCAAGCACCTCCCAAGCTAAATGATGCCAATTATATCCAGCTGGGAAATGCTATAAGCTGCTAACAGTGCAGAGTTTGGCTAGACCAGAAGAGCTTGCCTCGACATCTGGTAGAGGTAAAGCTGACCTCACCACTTCGTGCCTGGGACAGGTAGACAAAAGCCCATGGAGATTAGCATCAATCTCATACGATCAGTTAGAGTGACTATTGGCTACATTCTTTGTTTTTGGTCAAAAAAAAAAAAAATGTAACTGGAGTAGCAGCTTAAAAACAAAACAAAATAAAAGCTTTTTTCCTCCTTTCTCCCATAGTGAAACTTAGGCTTGTTACTTCTGGTTTGAGGCAGATAGCGAGTTACTTACACCCATGTGATTGCTCTCTGGTTGCATTTATGATTACTAGAATAGAATTACAAGTACTCCACTATTACTTCCAGTCCTCAGCCAGATGTGAATCTACCAGGTTAAACAAAGACTTAAACTTAAGATTCTTAAGAATTATTTTTTTCCCATTACCTTTTACTGGTAAATGAAAAAACAAGAAGTGAGTACTGATTTAAGTTCTTTAAATCCAAAAATTAGTGAGGGTGGCACCACTTACTTTTGTAATTCCAAGACAAGCGTCCACTGCTACATAGGATAAAGTCCTGGGGTTTAGATTTCAGCTCTCAGAATCACAATCCCTAAAGAGTGTTCACTAGGAAGAAAAAGTAAAGAGTCTGCTCTAGAAACATTGCTCATAAACTCCAAATACTTTTAGTTCTCCTTTTTCACCCCTGAAGAAATATATCCTCATGGCCCATATTTCATTTCTGACGTGGGTTACCCAAAAAGGTTGTTTTTGAAAAGTGCTCTGCCTTTTCTTTCACATTAATTTTATTAGCTAGTTTAAAAGGGATAATTTGCCAAATTAGATGTTTTCACGTGTTCTTTTGTTGAGTAAGTACAATCATCTACAAATAAGTTTCCTATTAAAAGGTACTCAAAACACAGCTCAAAACAAAATGACTTTTTAAAATTAAGAGTTGTTATATTTGAAAGAGACTAACATTGATTTAATGTTGAAAACACACACAAAAAAGGACAAATTGGTTGAAACTTTCACAAGAATGGAAAATGTTTAATAAACTTGGAGTGGTGGGCTTATTAAACTATAGTGTTATTTACAGCCATAATTCATCAACCACAAACACAATAATGTGTTTGCATGGCATGCTACAACAGAAGCTTTATTCAGTTCATTCAGAAAACAATGGCAAAATAAATTTCAGTTGCAAATTCACAGATACAAGCTTCAAAGTATAAAGTTGTATATAACAAAAAATACAGGTAATATTTATAACAATAACTTACAGATACAAACTAATGATAAACTACAATTTCACAAAGGATTGTAAACATGTTGCACACTTGTCAGTCCTTTTGTTTTTTAGGCAAAGTGCTCTTTTGATGACAAATAAATTAACAGATACACACTAGAGTGAACTATTTCCAGACAATACAAAAAAAAGTTGATTTGTTTTCTTCTTGTAAACATAAATTTTACAAAAAATGAAGAATCGATAAAAGTGTCTTGCAGGCCAACTATAGATACATACCTGGGCAGCAAAGTGATGTTGAAAATGCTTTGAGTGTTAAATAAAAAATTAACATTAATATCTTTTCAATGGTATTTTATACATAATAAATGACAAGATTATATCCTTAATCATTACTATCCCTGAAAAAAAGAATTAGGTATGACTTATTGGCAGTTGTGTCATTGAATGGGGTAACAAGGGCTGGAGTCCAAGAGTTGTTGGTGAATGAGCTATAAAATAGAAAGAAATTTGTGGATCAGTTTTGTAGGGTGAATAAAACTGATTTAAAAACAAACAAAAACAATCCAAGGCAATGAGCTTTCGTTACTCTTTATAGCTGAGGGCACCAAGCTATGCTCTTTCCACTAACCTCAGCAGAAACATTAACTTGTTCAGCACAATGAATATAGTATTAAATGAGAATCCAGGAATAGATTACCCCCAAAGCCTCTTTTGGGGCCACAAGCTTTTGACGCTTTAATGTCCTCCATCCATACCCCATTCACTGCACTTTACCCTGCAACTAGAAAACATCAGCTTTGTCTGCAGAGATGCTGCTAGCTTCTAATATAAAGGTGTCTGTAGGATGACCCCTCTGCACACCAATTTCTCACTTATGAATGCTTAACCACCTCTTCCCTAAACATACATCAAAGCACATTTGACTCAGGCAACACTATAGTCATTCATGTGAACACACACAATTTTAATACTAGTATAATAGTAACCATGGTACAGGCTCTGATTTTTTATTTAACCCAAACTTAAAATGAGGTTTCCATTCTCAGCAAGGGCTATGATGCTTCAAACCAAACCTCCCTCTGAGAACTACTAGGAAAGCTGGACTAAATTTTAAAAAATCTGTTGGAAGGCATCTGAAAGATACCGAGATAGTGAGAACTTGCAAAGCAAGTCCCAGAAGAGAAGGGAAATGAACTGAGTCTACTACCCTCTACCCCCTCCAAGTTTAGTGACAATTTTAAAAGAAAGGAATGTCTGAGAGGCTGAGAATTTGAGCAGACTTTCAGGAGTTAGACTTTGGCTAGGTGTTGGGGAACAAAACACGAAAGATTAGGGACCACTGAAGAGAAGCCCTCATTTAAACAACAGAAACAAAACACAACAAAACACAGGCTCTGTCCGGGATTCCAAAAGACTCAATACAAATAGTGACTCAGAAGCATACCAGCCTTTGTAAGGAGTGATGCCTCACTGGATTAAGTTGATCTTACCCTAGCCTAACTTTCTGCTAGAGGTGAAACCAAATCCTCTCTGGTGGAATAGATCATCCGAAGTCTCAAATTACTTCTAATTTTTCATACACAACATCTGAAGTGCAATAAAAAATAAAAAGGCAAATAAGACATGACTTGACTGAAACAAAGAGATCCAGATATTGCAGTTATCAGACACAAATTTAGTATAACTATAATTAATATAACAATAATTTTGTTAAAGAATAAAGTGGCAAAAATAGAGGATTCTAGTATAGAAGTGGAAACTATAAAAGAATGAAATTCTAAAACTGAAGATACAATAACTGAAATTAAGAACTCAGTAGGTGAATTGTACCGCGTATTAGAGAATTAGTGAACTGGAAAGAAGTCAGAAGAAAATACCTTGATTAATGCATGGGAGGTCAAAAGGGTGGAAAATATAGGATATTTTCATAAGGGGCAGAAACAATATTTAAAGAGACAAAAACAGACTTTTCCATAATGGAATACATCAAACTACATATTCAAGAAGTATATCTAGGCACATTATAATAAAACTGAAAAACAAACACAAAGAGAAAAGCTATAGTAAAATGACATTCACTTTCAAAAGAGCAAGAAGTAGATCAACAGCTGATTTCAACAATAAGTAGCATCAGATTAACTATCCATATTCTAAACAACAGAAACAATGCAAACCGGAAGCCAATGTTATCTTTAAAGTGCTGGGGGAAAAAAAAGCTGCCAATCTAGATTTACACACAGAGGAAACACCATTAACAACTGCATCAAAACAAATACTTATGAATGAACTTTAGATGTGCAATATTGCTAAACCAAAAACTCTGGAATATAAAAAGATACTTGAAGATGGTCTAAATAAATAGGAAGACAAAGTTCATAGTATGGAAGGTGATATTAAGATGACAGTTTCTTACAAATTGATCTAATAGATTATATCAAAATTTCAATTGTTTATGAGTTTTGTGATGGAAATAGACAAGCTGGTAACATTTATGGAAATGCAAAGGGTCAAGAATAGGCAATATAAACTTGAATAACAAGGAAGTAGAAAGACTTTTCTAGTGGATATAAAGAATTGAGGGCCTTGCGTAATTAAAACAATTAGGTATTATTATGAAAATAAAGACCAATAAAATAGAGTGCACAAAAATTGACACTTACATTATATGAGCAGTTGATTTATGAGAAATGTAGCACTATAAAAGAGCTGAGACATTGGCATTTTAATCAATATAACAAGAGCTTTGTTTCCTATCTCATACCACATACAAAATTCAATTCCAGATGGGCTATAAATCTAAATGTCAAATGGAAGAAAAATTTCTAGAAGATAACATAAGAAGAACATATTCATTATCTTTGAGGAGAAACAGTTACTTGAACAGGTCACCAAAAAAAGCACTGTCCATGAATGAAAAAAAACCTAATGAAATGAACTATATTAAAATTAGGAACTTGTGCTCAACAAAACGTACCCTTAAGAGAATAGAAAAAGGCAAGCCACTGAAAAGAAGGAGATATCTGCAATACATATAATCATAAAAAAACTTATATGCAGAATATAGTAAGAACTAAGATAAATCAAGGAAAAAAACCAAAACAGACAAACCAACAAACAGGCAAAAGACATAAATAAGCTCTTCACAAAAAAAGGATATACAAACATCCAGTGAAAACATGTTCAATGTCACTAGTCATGAAGGAAAAGCAAATTAAAATAAGGAGATAGGCACTACACAACCATCAAATTGGCTAAAATTAAGAAATCACACCTTGTTGGCAAGGATATGGAGCACCTTGAAGTCTCACCTAGTGCTGTTCCGAGTGTAAACTGGTTCAAGCACTATTAGAAACTGGCAGAATTTGCTGAAGTTGAATGTATGTGTAGCCTGTGACCCTAAGTTCCACTCCCAGGTGCATTCCAAACAGAAGTGTGAATTCATGTGCACCAAAAGGCATGTACAATAAAGTCCATAGCAGCATATTCATAAAAGCCTAAACCCGCTCAAACACAAATGTTTATCATCCATAAAATGGTTAAACTGCAGTATACACCTACGGTGGAATTCTATGGAACAATAAAACAAATCACTAATCCTTGCAACAATACAGGTGAATCTCACGAACAATGTTGTTGGAAGAAGTGAGATGCACAAGAATACATTCCATATGGTGTAGTTTATATAAAGCTCAAGAAGAAGCAAAACTAAAACAGGATTTTGGAAGTCAAAGCAATGCTACTCTGAAAGAGGAGGATAATGATTGGAAGGGCACATAAGAGAGGTTTCTGGGGTGTTAATTATGTCCTACTACTTCATCTGGTCAGTATTTATGTGGATGTGTTCACTGTAATAATAATTCATCAAGCTGGATACTTGTTACATGTACACTTTTCTATGTGTATGTTTTGCTTCAATATAAAAGTTTCTTTAACAAAACTCGGTAAATTTCAATCTAAAACTCTGAGTGTGAATACTTTCTCTGACTGTAAGAAAATAAATTATTTAAATACCAGGTGAAAAGCAAAACAAAGTTTTAAAAATGTCCTAAGTAAAAAATCAAGCACTAATAGGCATTATTAATATTTGTGTTTTAGCTGTAAAGTGGGTGTTAAACTTGTCCCTTAAACTGTTAACAGAAATAAGAATGTTTGGATGGTTCTGCTCCCTACTTGCACTTCCCCACAATATTTTTCATCTACTACTGAGGTAATATTTCAAAATATGGGTCCTATCAACAATCTAATACTAGAAATGATCACTTATTGGTTGCTTGGGAAACAGCTGTTAAAGGCTGGGATACCTACCATCCATGTAACTATGCAGAGCAGTTAGCATCGTCCCATCTTGGGGCACGTAGGCAGAATAAGCCATTTCTTCTAACATGGGTGGAGACAGCCTGGAGGGTGGGACTGCTGTGACTGGGGCCGAGGAAGAGTGATTAGGACTGACGTGTTTCTTGTGGCGTGCTCTACAATTCTGAAACCACACCTGAGGGAGGAGAAAAGCAACGTAGGTACGTCACATCTCAGTTTCTGAGTACATAATCAGCTAAGCTTAAAAAGAAATGCATCCTCTGTCAAACTGCTCACCATTAAGACTAAGAAAGAAAAAGAAATGTATCCTCAATTTCTCTACCATATAAGCACAATATAAATTGAAATAAGCTTTTTGGGCACCTGGGTGATTCAGTTGGTCGGGGGGCCGGCTCTTGATTTCAGCTCAGGTCATGATCTCATGGTGATATTGAGCCTGCTTAGGATTCTCTGTCTCCCTCTCTCTCTGTCCTTACCCAGCTCGAGTGCATGAGCATGTGCTCTCTCAAAATAAATAAACATTTAAAAAAAGTCTAAGTTTTTTAAAACAGTTTTATAGACTGAAGAGAAACATTTGCACAAATATCAATGATCATTTTCTTTGCTCAAATAATAAACTATCTGGTGATTTATTTAAAGGTCGATTCTATACTACACGGGCATCTTTGAAAATAAAAAGGGAGGGAGGAAGTTTTGAGAATTCCAGAAAAGTCTACTTGTCTTTAACTGCTGGCATTTGGGACAAACAAACAAACAAGCCCTTTTAATCAGAACTAAAAAAAAAAAAAAAAAAATCCTACTAAATGTATTCTTAGACACCTGCTGGACTTATTTCAAAATCCTTTTTCAAATGACTAAAATCCCTACTGAGAACTTAAAGCTTTCTACAAATCTCTTGATTCAGTTATTCCAATCACATTTTACCTGCTGAGTTCAAGTTTTCTTAGTGAATAGACTATTCCCTAAGGAGTATGTTAAGGTCAGGCTTATAACAAGAAAAAATGAGTAATATTTAAGCAAAATAAAATACAAACATATCCACTGATAAAAATAGTTCACAAAATGTAAAAAGTTAATCATCCTGTGGTCTACTCTATCATAGAAATAAAGGAAGCAAATTCAGGGCAAGCACAGTTTTGCTTCCAGGTCTGGGTGAGGGAAGCTAGGCTGCCCAGAACGCTTCCCAGTAATTAATCTGCCTGTGTTTGAACTCTCTGTCATTAGATAAAACTCTACTATGGAGTGTTACTCTATTAAAATGTTAAAATATTATAGCACTTATTTGCTGTCACTTCAAACACTTCCGTCATGAGGAGAAAAAGAAGTGGAGGAATAAAAACTTTTAGGAAATTAGGATAAGAACATTTTAGTATCAGGAGGGAGGACCAGGGAGAGATCAGGGGCATAAGCTTCTGCCCTGGGCCGGTAGGTAGTGAGCTGATGGCACAAGGGAATTGGGGCTGAATAATGTCAAACAGAAGGGATGTGCAAAAAGATTTATATAAAAAAACTGACCTGATTTCAAAGACATGTCCTGCCCTTGGTACTCAAAATTGAGGGCTGGCAAAGTGTAAACTCAATGGGTTAAAACTAAAGTAATAAAAATTAATAATGCCGTGGGGTAGGGGCACCTGGGTGGCTCAGTTGGTTAAGCGTCCGACTTCAGCTCAGCTCAATATCTCGTGGTTCATGGGTTCCAGCCCTGCGTGGGCTCTGTGCTGACAGCTCAGAGCCTGAAGCCTGCTTCAGATTCTGCGTCTCCCTCTCTCTGCCCGCCCCCCGCCATCTCTCAAAAATGAATAAATGTTAAAAAGTGTTTTTTAAAAAAAAAAAAAATAATGGGGTATGCATCCCTGGCCAGATGGTGAAAGGTAGCACCTAAGGAAGGTTTCAGGGAAAAGACATAGGCATATATCAAGAAAAAGGAGTGGGAAGTCACAGCCTTTTCCCCCATTTTCTGGAGTATTAGACTCTTAGCTACTTACAGAGAGACCCAAAGTCTTCAGTCACAGTTCCCTCCAAAGGCTCCTTAATAATAAGTGTCACTACTGTCATCTACCCAGTCAAGAAGATATACTCACAATTTTTTCTAATTTGTAAGAGAAAATGACTGTCACTAGTCTTTTCCTCAACAGTACCCAGAAGACATTTACTGCAGTGGACTACATATAACCTAATACACATGGTACTATGGTTTCTAGAGTTCTTCCAAAGTATCTTAGGTCTCCAATAAATTACATACTGGATGGAACTTACTCAGTAGTTTTAAAAAAATCCAAACTTTGGAAATAATATGAAAAGGGTATGACATAAACAGCAGAAAAGCCACCTTAATATGGATTCAAATAGCTCTTTGGAAAGATCATCAATAGGTAATCAAACAGAGAGGTTTGTAAACACAAAACATCCTGTAACTTGCACAGGAAAATATAGTTGACAATTCCAGACATCAGAAAATAACTTCTGACATGAGGGCTCCCCAGCTTCAGAATTTAACTACAAGTACTTTTGACCTTCCTTGCCGATTCAAAATTTCTTCCTTCTACTTTGCAAACCTCTAAAAAGAGTTAAAATTTCTTCTGAGCAACATACTTTAAAATTTTTTGAGTTCCAAACTGTAAACAAAGCCAAGAGCAGGCTATGTAGATATCCTATGAAAGAAAAGACTAATCCATAAGATGGATCTCCAAGAAAGCCCAAATTGCCAAATAGAAGAATCAGGTGTATGAAAAAAATGGAATTTTAAATTATCGAGAAACCATGGGATAATACTGATTTAGAGAAACCTGGCTAATCATTTAAGAGGAAAAAAATGGTAAACTCCCTACCTCACTAGTAACCAAAAGTTAATTCCTGATAAATTAAAGATTTAGACGAAGTAACTGGAACTATAAATGTTTAAGAGAAAACAAAAGTTGATATTGATAAACTCTCTAGGTGAAGAAGTATAAAAAGGGGCAAAGCTATAAGAAAAAATATTAAGAGATTTGAATACCTATAAATATAAAAGTTCTATGGGGAGAAAATAAATGAAAAAGAAACTGTGGAAGATTAATATGATAAACAGAATAAAAATCAGTAAGATAGAAAAGTAATCATCCAGTAGAAAAGTGGACTTTTATGTTTCTTTTATTATCAATAACTTTAACATGTTTGCATACAATTTCTAAAATTACAAAATAAGCAAACATGTTAAAGTTATTGATAATAAAAGAAACATAAATAAAAACAATGAGATTTTTCTACCAGAATTGGAAAGAATGTAAAAGAATGACAGTATTCAGGATTTGTGTAAATTGGTGAAAGGGAATTTGCATACATAGCTCCTGGCAGAATAAACTTGTATAAACTTTCTGGAAGCTGATTTTTGTACTATTAATTAATCAGTGAAAGGCCCTAAATGTACTAATATGTACTCCCAAGACACTGATTGGAAGAAATAGCAATGCCTTATCCTGTTTCTGTAAGATGCACAATTCATGATTCACCTACTAGAAAGGGTATGTGAACAGTGATTGAAACTGTATGCAGTGTTAAAAGTAAAATCATCTATATTTATTTTGTGATTTCAGTACATTTCAGTACAACAAAGATCTGCTCTGTTACTAATATCTTGCTAAGCAGACTTTAGCTAGTGAAGGTGAGATGGTCTCTGTGTATCAGACCATTGTTTTACCTAATTGTTAGGTAACCTAGTTTGCAATGCACATTAGAATCAAGGCCCAGTAGGGGCGCCTGGGTGGCTTAGTCGGTTAAGCGTCCGATTTTCGCTTAGATCATGATCTCCCGGTTCGTGGGTTCGAGCCCCGTGTCGGGCTCTGTGCTGACTGCCAGCTCAGAGCCTGGAGCCTGTTTCAGAGTCTGTGACTCCCTCTCTCTCTGACCCTCCCCTGCTCGTGCGGTCTCTCTCTCTCTCCTAGAAATAAATAAAACATTAAAAAAAAAAAAGAATCAAGGCCTAGTAATCAAAACTTTAATTTTTCTAAAATATGCCCAATGCTAGGAAGCAGACTGGACATAGAGGCTATCATTACTACCTGAGATCACAGAAATTGACTCTTCAAAATTACCATGAAGGACTGTATGCATACATACAAATAATTTATATATTTGCATGCTAGTACTCCTTCTTTTGACATCCTATCAAAAATATTTAAATTCAATCCTTACATATTAGAAGCCACCACCCAACAATATATTCTCCAAGTTCTAGTACTTGGATCCAAGATAACTTGCACATAATACTGGTGACCTAAATACTTGGAAATCATAGGACACTGTCTGGGATCCTTATTTATTGAAATAATAAGAAAGCTGCTCAGAAAAATCTTTCATTTTCCTTTGCTTCCAACTTCAAAATAATCTACAACATAATAGTCATGAATTGACTTAGCTGGAGCAACCATCGTCATTGACTGTATAGATTCTCACATTAGAAGAAGACTCAGCCCATTGAGTCTGTACTACCTCAGCAAAGAAAGCTTCATTTTCAGGCACAGGAAAGTCATGATCTCCAAAGGCAGCCTATTTTAATTTTGCAGACTTTCATCCTGAAAAAGTTCTTTATCATGAGTAAAATTCACTTTTCCTATATTCCCTTATAAAGGCCTGATTTTGCTTGTCTGCAGACAGCCTTCCACATACACTTAAAGTTACTTAGTTTTTTAATACTATTCCTTCCCTTATCATCTCATCTCATCTCCAGATAAGTATTCTTGTTACCGTTAATATTAGCACATGATTTCTAGTTCTGTAATGACCTTGTTAGCTTGCCTCTAAAGGAAGCAGTTTGTTTAGATTGGTTCCTTATTAGACCCCTTTTTGAAATCTGGCACTCTGAAATAAACACAATACCCTGGATATCGGAAAAGCATTGAGGTTGTGTGGCTCACTTCCTTGGAGAACCTCATTACAGTTCAGTCAGCCCAACCCACTGGGAATCTAAGTCTTTAGAGGAGCTGCAGTATCATCAGGTCTTTCCCCATCAGCTTCTCTATACAGATGATTTATTAATTATGAAACAGCTCAGCCTTAAGAAGAATAAACTGAAGAATGAGCACCTATTTATCAACCACTCAATTGAGGAAATGAAACACATGGATAATGTTGGACTTTACCTCCTCAAGCTCCCAGCAACTGAATTTCATCTTGCTGGTTATGGTTACTTGCATTAATTCCTTAAACTTTTTTTTTAATTCCTTAAACTTTTTGAACCTTTAATGCTATTTAAAATTATTTTCCATTTCCCCAATTTCTCTATAAGGTCTTGACACAGCTGATCACCTCCACCTTGAACACACTCCTCTGGCTTCCATGATGCCTCCATACCAGACTCATTCCTTGATCCTAGCTGTTACTACATCCTTTTCAAATAGTATCTCTTACCCTGCTCTCTCCCTAAAGTCCAAAATTCTCTTTTTACTGTTTATGATCTAGTGCTAAAGGGTTTTACCCAATTTCATGGCATTGGATCTATTTGCTTGAGTCCTACTCATCTTTTAAAATACCTGTTTATATGCCCAACTGCCACCATCACTCCATGACTAGCAGAGCTAGTGTCCCATTAGAGTGTCCAGGTCCTTTTCTTGTCTTTCTTCCATCTGTGCAGGCAATAAAATGTTTCTCAATGAATTCTAGGTCACTATCTTATTTAAGTCTCTCTTCAAAAAAATACTACTTTGCTGGATGTCCCAACTAACCTATATTATCTCTAGCCTCTTCCAACCCTAATTCTTCCCATGTATTGCCACTAGGCCTTTCTTCCTGAAATCACATATCATGGCTTTCTCCTGATGCTCAGGAGAGAACTCTATACTCGCAGGCCCCTCCTAGTGCAGTTCCAACAATTTCATCTCTCACAATGTGCAAATATAAATCATATGTTTCAATGAATTTGCTCTAATTCATCCTTCTCTGGTTTTATTCACACCACCATCTCTCCCTGGACCTTTAATAAAGGCCATCAACCCCACCCCTGGACACACACACATACTCACATATACAATCACAGAAAAGCTGGGGAAAAAATGACTGGCTTCAGAACAAGATCTAGGTTGGAACCATAACTGCTTTTTACAGCTTGGGGATCTGAGGGTGCTGTGAACACTGAATGAAGTAACTTGTGCACAAAGTTATTAATAATTGGTAGCCTAGCCCTAGCAAGCCATTTAACAGATTTAAAAAGTTGATGTAGAGTGTAAAGAGACCTAAAATAGAAAGCAAATATTTTTTGACATTTCTTCACACACAAAAAAAACTAATGCACACTTATAAAGACCTAGCATAGAACTTTTAGGATATCTTGATTAACCTTTAAAATAATCACCTGTATCACACGTCTGCTCAAGCCTGTCCTTTCTGCCAGTTTCTGGAGAGTCTGTGCATCTGGGTTGTTGTCCTGAGCAAACTGCGCTTGCATTACCTGTTTAAAAAAATATATATATATAGGAAGTAGCTATATATAAGAAGCTCAATCTTCTGCATTTTGATGACAGGAGAGATAAGACATGAACAAGAAGATAGGATTCTGGTATCTTATTAATCGAAAATCAGTAAGGGGAAATAAGTATAAATGAAAAGAAAGCATATCTTGTAAATTTACAAACAAGTTGCTACGTTGAGACCTTTTAAAAAATAATCCATTTCAACGTAAAACTTTTCTTTCAACTATGCTGTTAAAAATGAGCTCACTTTTGCTCTTCTTCCATTCTTACAAAATGCAAACGAAATGAATAAATGGTATAAACCTATTTACTATTTTTTTCCATTTTGTTAAAAATGTCTTGTATTAGAAAACTTGTATAAATATAAAAATCCTATCACATTTATCTCCAACTGCTACAGAGCTAAACAGGCCCATACTATAATTTTTATCAGTCATCAATAGTATACAGTGCAAAAGATGGATACTATTTAATTGTAATAAGGCCAACATTAATGGTTTTGAATGCTTGCTCTATGTAAAATATCTGGGATCTTAAAAAATGACACCCATCATTCACAATAAGGACTTCCTGGGATCTAACCATCTGTATATTGGAAAACTCCCAGATGATTCAGTATGAACCTTTGGATTAGAACCACTGCACCAAGGGCCATGAGACAATGATACATGAAAAAATTGTCCCTTGTCTCAACTTTTTGAGACAAAGACATGGACATCTCAATAACTACCAATAATATAAAGTAAAAGGAGAAACATGGAGCAGGAGGGAACATCAGAATAATGCACAAGTCAAGGACTTTGGATTCTTTCTGAAGAGGAAATCGTGGAAATCAACAGGGATATTTGAACTTTATTACTTTAAAGCCAATCAACTGAGGGGAGTAGTATAAAATATAAAGTATTGTAAAAAATAATGAGAGAGGGGAGTCTGTCATCCAACATGATTAGGTATGTCAATAGGTGTAGGATGGGGGTAACCAACCTTCCTAAAGACCTTAAGCACTAGTGGCCTCAGCATCATTTCTAATAGGCAAAATTAATTGCATGCTCCACTATGCTTCTCATATAATATAGTCTTCTGCCACTACACATGTCACAAGGTAGCTAAATAACTCAGCAGCAAGTCTAGCTCTCTACAGCAGAAAGTAATCATTTTGAGGGCAAAGGAAGTGCCTTACTCTTCATTTCCCCAGGAGCTAATACCCTTTCCTATCACATATATGTATTTAAGGGTTTGTAACATAATGAACCCTGACAACATGAGAAAAATCTGAAGATAGTGTAGAGAAAAAGACCAATGTTGTTCCAGGAAACCTTATGAGGTTATGAGGTTTGAAAATTATAAATTTTTCTCAGTTAAGTTCCGATAAGTGACTCTTCTAGAATAAGGTATTTCTGACTTCCTGTCCAACCATATTTGTTCACACACTGTCTGTAAATAGCACATGTATTTTTACTTTAAGAAATGGGCAGAACTGGCTTAAATGTTTATAATCTCACTCAGTTCATCTCATTCTTCCTTATTCCAAATGTGTTATTTCAATACTGTCGTGTACAAATAGTTGTTTATATGTATTTGTGTTTATATATAACATCTCAAAGAGAAAAATGAATGAGCAAGTTAATTGTCTTTATATTTTAATTTTTTAAGAAGAAAAGCTAAACATATATTTAAGGATTTGCTTGTTAGACCATTATTGATAATTTATAAAACAAGACAGCATGCTTTTCATAAATGCATTTCAAATTCACAAGTTTAATAATGGAACCAAGTTATATTTAATAAAGCAATTTCTTATCAAGGAATAAAAAACTTAAATGAACACTGATGTTGGTATATTCTAAAGGGAAAGTAATACATGCTTATCAATGTTTAATCTCACAAAATAAAAGTTTTCATTTCTATTTTATTTCATTGTTCTCCAGTCACTAATATTGTTGAAACCCATACCACTCCTCTTCTGAGCCTTTTTTTAACCTGGTCAAGGAGTGAAACTTTGTAGACACTCATCATTATAAGGCCAGGAAATCCCAGAAATAACAAGCATCTGCATAGTAGCAGCTGACCAACTCAATCTGAAAGATTAATGTAGTTGCTAACCTTGGCATGTTTAATATTAATAATCATTGAGCAAGTGCTTCCAACTACAATAAGCAAACCATAATATTGGCAGGAATTTCTTAAGGGCCATTCTACACATGGGACAATATTTGAAATATTCTTGCCAACACAAAATGTTGTTCTGTTTTGTGAGTCTTAAACTCTTTTTTTCTTCCCATAAATTTCTAAATAATTTTGGGAAATTATCTTGTTTATGCTTCTCAATTTAACTCTCCTCGGTCCAAAGCAGTACTTCATTTCATTAATAGTCTTGACTTACTGATCACCTATATTATTATTTTGCTGAATTCAAGCACTACTAGAATATATTCAGCTTACTGAAAGGGCAATTTGACATAGAGGGTACACTGCCTGATTTATTAGAGGTTCTGGCAAAATACAGTGATTTAAATCTTTCAAAAATTTACAGCTATGGGGCATCTAGGTGGCTCAATCTGTTAAGCACCTGACTCTTGATTTCAGCTCAGGTCATGATCTCATGGTTCCTGAGATGGAGCCCTGCATTGGGCTCTCACTGACAATGTAAAGTCTGCTTGGGATTCTCTCTCTTCTCTCTCTGCCTGCCTCCCCCGCCCTCACGCATGTTCTCTCTCTCTCAAAGTAAACACACACTTAAAATTTTACAGCTATGTATACCAGATTTCTAAGGTATGAAGAACCACTTGAGGACAAAGATTGTGTCTCATTTGTTTCAGCCATTCCTGGAATAAAATAGGTACTAATAAATACTGAAAAGAATGAGTATATGCTTTGAAAGCATGTCATTTCTATTTTCATATTTTAAAACCTATGATTCCTATATGCATCTTTAAAAACGCAAGAGTCAGATCACATTTTTATATAATAATGCATATGATGATACAAATAGCTTATGCATGTTTGCAACTTAAAACTATGAGGCTATCTACAAGATTCAGAATCTCACTCTTGTTTTAGTGGCTGCTGCCATTAAGTGGAACTTTTATTTCACTCATATTCTGGAGGCCAAGCAAAAGATCAGAGGGTTGGAGAAGTTTTCAGAGCTCTTCTCTGACATTCCCTTGATAGTCTGATTTGAGGGGAGTTCCTATACCTCTTCGATGAGGTTACCTACATCAAGGAGTTATTGTTAAGAATTAAAGGAGAGAATGTAGATGGATGCCTAATGTAGGAATCGATACACAAAGACCTTCACAAATGTTATTCCCTCCTTATTTAGTTAGTACGTGTGATTATCTTCCTGTATGAAATGGTATATCTAAAGTTGTTTCAAATTTTCAATTTTGATAACTTTAATTTCATATAAAATTTTACTTGTCAGACTTATAATTATTAAAATTATAGCCAGCCCTTCATGGAAACAGCCCATTTTAAAAACAATATATTTATATTAGAAATTCTATTTTAACTCAGATATTTTGTAGCTTCTGGATATTTTGCTTCCAGGTCTCTCACAAGTACTCTTATCTCCTAATTTAGGGCTTTATGTAATCCAAGTTCCCTTGGAATATTTGTATCACACCAAGGTTTCTTTCTTGATCATTCTCCAAATAAAAAATTCTCTCTTGAAACCCTTTTACTGTATTCATCTTAAATACTGGCAACTCTTTGAATACTATTCGTGGTTTTTTCTGAGTATTACTTTTACTCATTTGTTAATGTTATATAAATATCCTTTAAAGTTTGAGCTAAGACCGATACTATGTGTAAAGCGCCCAGCAGTACAAGGTAGGTGCTCAATAAATGTTACTTTAGCTTAACATAAAACAAATACCTCATCCACATTAATCTTTTAGAAAACATGATTTATCTGAAATAATGCCAGAAAGAATCATCATATGTGTAGGCTTAAAGATAAACCAGAGTAATTATTTAATTATTTTCTTGACAATTGACATGGATTGAATTTATAACAATTATACTTTAGGGAAACAGAACAGAAAATAATCCCTCCTTTTTTAGGAGACATCATCAACCATTAGCATCATATAGAATTACCTCCCTTTATCCCTTTTAAAAAGAAAATGTCTACTTGATTGGAGTCAATTACTAGATTCCTGTTGTTTGTTTATGGTAAGGCATATTCAATTCTTTCCTATTCAGAAAACATACAATCTTAGCCATAAAAAGCCTCATTGTAATTTGTTAAAAAGGTGAGCACATTAGTGTCCCACAGACCCACACACTGTATGTCTCTTTCTGTTAACAGTCCTAAAATAGTTTGTCTTCTATCACAATTATATGTAGTAATGTAAATAAATGCCTGGGTTAAACTGATTTTATCAGGAAGTCAGGACAGATCAACATTTTGTTTGCACTTTGACACCAATACCAATAGAACCCAGGAAAATAAAGCTTGAATGACTAGTTCATACCAGATCATGACTCTGGGAATATTGATAAACATTTTAGAGCAATAAGTATGTTTTCATACATTCACCAAGTTAGCTTTCGTTAAAAGCATAGGCCAACCTTTTTGAAAACACAAAAATGTTTTTAGGCAGCATGGAGATTGTTTTGGCATTTTTTTGGAGGGAGAGGAGGGTTTGCAGGCTTTTTTGGTACTTTTTTGTTTGTCTGTTTTCATCAGGAGGGAATTCAAAAATCATGAATTCATTGTCATGTCTACCTGGAGCTGATCTGCTGTAAAGCTGGTCCGAGCTCTTTTTGCTGGTTTTGGATGATTAACATCTTGCTCTGTGAGAAGGGCACCTTCAACACTAATGCCATTACCTGCATTTAAAAAACAACAGCATATATATTTGGTAACTCAAATGACTCTACCGATCAAGCAATAATATGTTTCTTGCATCTCTTGGCTCATTACAAAATTGTGAATTACCCAAATCTGGGAGGTAAGTTTTAAAACACACTAGAAATATTCTGTGGAAACAATATTCCACTTATATGCTTGTATATTTTAGTCAAAAGTGCAAAAAGTTAGAATAGCACATATCTAAGGTTCATCCTTAAGAGGCAAACACAGGAAAACTGGTTATGAAAAGCAAAACAGACCCTAAATCCAAGGCTGCTGCCTGAAAATATGGTACAAGGCTCATACACATGCCATGGTTTTCCCTGCAAACACACAGATGGAGATCATCACTAACATTAGAGTGCTTAATGAGTTTTACCACAATTACACTGCACAAAATAATGCATTAAAATGACCTTAGGAAAAATCATTTTTATTCCCTGTATTCACCATCCCCAAAGACTCCAAAGCATTTTAAGTATATATTTACCATTTTCCACTTCTCTTTTCAAATTATCCAGCATACAGTCATAATGCACTCTGCAGAGGACTTTCTCTTCCACCAAAGCAAACTCCTCTCCTGTGGAAAGCTGCCTTTTGCAAGAAAAGCAGGCAAAGCATGCCAAGTGATAGACATTCCCCTTGGCCCTCCGGACCCAGTCAGTAGAGTGGATGTGCCTCCCACAACGAGAGCAGCGAGTTCCATACCTTCTACATAAATAGAAGAGCAGGAGGTGAAGATTTTAATGTTTGATAAGATATTGATCAACCTGAGAGTAAACGAATACATTATAATACTCCTTGAATTAACCTAGGTATTTAAATCTTTGGAAAGGGAAAAAGGAATCAATTACTTTTCTAAAAGTTAATATGGTAAGAAATCAAGACTTGAGATAGGGTCATAATTCACACCTGTTTATAAAACAAAAACTCCTCATTGTTACTTTAAAAGATTTTTTTCTGGAGTTTTTTCTTTTAAAATAAATGCATATGAGTTTCAATATTGCTTTTGTGACAAATATCAACATATTTATTAATTACCTAGGAACTCAATATACAAACACACATATACTGCAGATTGAAACCTAAAAGTGTAAAAGCATACCATTGAAGATACAATGACTTCTTAAAACCAAATTGAGATAATTTAAAAATGTTTTAAATATCATTTTTTAAGTTAAAATATTTAAACATTTAAAATCGATATTATCAAATAATGGGTAGAACAGAACCTGTTCACCCTGAGGGTGAGAAAGGAAAACTCAGGTATGTTTCCATTGGTGAATAAGCTATTATATCACTTGCCACAGGAAGGGGAGAAATATTGTCTAAAACTTTAAGAGAACTTGCTGGACATTAAATTCATGTTAACTGTAATAAAATGCCAGATGTAAGTATTTCTTTTTTCTCCTGGTCTAAGTAATTGGACATTCTTTGTTATGTCTCCTATCATAATCATAGTCATGGCCTGGCATATTCACATCAAACTAGATAGGTGTCTGTTTCTATTCATTAATATATACTTAGAGAGATTGCCAGGTTTTTTTTTTTTTAAGTTAATCTGAAAAACAGAATCCTAAAACTAAATTTCAAAATGTAATAAAATATGAAGTATAAAAAAATCCTGAAGAACTACATTTTCAATAAGTCTCTGAAACCAAACCTTTCAAAAAGCTTTAAATTATGATTTAAAAAATTAAGATTTGCATATCTTAAGTCAAAGAGGAGGCAAATTGCTACTATTTTTGAGGAAGTGGAGAGTAAACCTGATGAGAAGTATGTTTTTGGTAATTATAAAATTCTGTGACTTTATAAAATAAAGGACTCTATGTTTTATGAATTGCTTTAAATTAGCAATTTTATTCAAATCAATCACTAAACTCTCTGAAACCAGTTTTTGAAACTGAGTATAAACAACATAATTAGTATTACAAACTTCCTTATATAGTATCAATTTTCCAATTTCACGATGAACATTTTTCTTCATTTGGAAATGCAAATAAAGAAAAATATAATTTTAATATTCTAGGATAATTCTAGGATAAATAGGGATAATTTCAATTTCTAGACAGCGATCCATTAAAAACTGAATTATATCCTAGAAGAAACTATACATTTAAAACATTTATAAAGAGATCATAAAGAAAATGTTAAGATCTTAGGCAAACACAATGTCACAAAACAAAGATCAAAGAGACATAAAGAAATAGGATTTTTACACAGAATAATCAAACTTGGTGTATTTGATATTGGAATGATTGGTTCCTTGAAATCATATGATTTATCAGTCTCCAAACTGCTGACATTTTGTAGGGTATAGCTAGGGATTATTCTATAGTAAAAATAAAACCTTGATTCCTCCCACCCCATAATTATTTCATTTCATCTTAGCATGCCCTGCAAACGAGGGTTTCTGTCACAATAAGTCATCTTATATTTTATACTTTACCTATGCATAACAAGGAGAAGTTCCCTCCCCCTTTTTTTAAATATCTCAAACTTTCATTCCTCAAAGTGTAAATAATTATTTTAAATTAGTTTTTGTATATTGAATTCCTAAAACATATAAACATGCTTATTTTATCTGTTTTAGTAGAAGCTATACCTTAAAAATGTGAAGCATTCTCATTCTGAAATCCATTATATAAGAAAAACTAGTGTGTATATATATATATACACACACATATACATTTAAATATGTAAAACTGGACAAGAAAGGTTATTTACAAAATTTTCTTTGCAAAACAATTTCTTGGAGTGTCTACTAAAAACTTTTCCACAGTGTACCTGAAATAATCAAGTTTGCAGAAAATGTCTTTGTCTTTAATATAACAGCTGGTATGCCTTCCTAAGGAGGTCCTGCAGACACTGCAGGAGAGACATCGAACATGCCAGCACAAGTCATTCACCTGTAAAGGAAAACGGAGCAGGATAAGAAATCATTTTAATGCCGTACTTACAGAGTATCATCCACTGGTTTTATGCATTGAGCAATTTTAAAACTTGGATCCTTAATATTTTAACATATGCTCTGAATGTTTCTAAGTGGGGTCATTTATACAAATATGGGTCTAGGTATATTCTCTTTTAGATGCCAACCAGAAAATCACAATCGTATATTTTATATTTTGTGTTTATTTTTTTATTTCTCCGAAGAATTCAGAGTGTGCTTTTTTTTCTTTTTGAAATCAAACCTCTATGAACATGGAAAATTTTGGTCATTCTGAAGTCCCACATACAGGCTTGTTTTATTCTTTTTTATTTACCAAATTCTTCCCACCATGAAACCTGGTAGCTAAAGAAGTCAAGCGACACACCTTTTCAATCTACTTTTTGGCCAATTATAAATGGTGTACTGGTTAAAGGGAGAGAGAAAGAAGGTGAAAAAGAAGGGTTGTAAGATACTTACCCTTATAAGGAAGGCAGGCAATCAATTTCCCTTACTAAACAGGAATGGCTAAGGTAGATTTAAATGTTGATATAGCAGAAGTCCTGGCTACCTTCTAATATTAAATAATAGAATCAAGGAGTAAAGTATCGGTAACCCTACCTAACGATCTGGTTACTGGAGAAAAAATTAATCTGAGTGTAAGTGGTTCTAAGAAGGCACCCAAGCACTGTTTGCCATTTGTACTTCCAGTAGTAAGGCATAAGACAGTGTCTAATAAATCACACCACTTTATATTTTTTAAATAGGCATGTGAAATAGTATCAAATCAGACAATAAATCATAATCCTCACCTTAAACTGTTGCCATCATACTATAAGCACTACAACTTCAGCCTTCAAGAATGAAAACAGGTACTGGAATGAAGTTGCCTGTATGTAACACAGGCTCCCAAAGTTTGCTCTTGTTAAATGGACTCAGGAACTGAGTTTATGCTTCACTAATTAAGTATAATTTCATTACACATGAAAAAATGGCAATGATGCAAAAATACCAGTTATACCCTACAATTCTATCTAATGTCTCAAATAATATTTAGGAAATTGTGAAAATGGGAAATTGTGAAATAGCCTTTATCACAAAAGTATAGTAAAAGCCCTATTTGTCCAATGACTCTATCAGATTAGCACTAATCTTCAAAATGTTTTCCTGTGATATAATATATAAAAGGTACTTTGAGGCAGAAGGAAAAAGTTTCACTTGCTTCTAATTACAGTTATAGATCTCCTTCCAAAGCATCAATGAGAGTTTCATTTTGGTAAAAATTTAAAAATTTTAAGTTTTGGTTTTGAACTACATGTTTACATAGTTCAAACGTGAGTTCCTACGTGAGGAAACTCGGAAAATAGAAGAATGAATTAAAGAAAGAGAAAGAAAGAATTTGAGGAAGTCAGAATAAAAAAATACAGTGGTTAATATCCTAGAATTAAATATGTATTTTCCTATTTTTTCCTAAAATGAGCTAATTAAAGTTTAAAAATATAGGTTTCCTTTAGTATTCCAATGCTTAGGGACTTCTACATTTTGATCTTATCCAGGCTTTTTTTTTTTTTTTTTTTTTTTTTTCCCCCCTCCTGTCCCCCAAGCAAGTGTAGATTCAGGCTTCAGGGCAGAGTCATGGCCACCCTCTAACTTCCTAAAGCCAAATCTAATGCTTGGATTGCCACCTTTCCTTAAAGTTTACTTAAAAAAAAACAAAACAAATGCTCATCTTCCATTTACTTTCCAGAGGCGAAAGTCAGATAAAGAGGGAAAATCCTGGAGAGTACAGACCTTTCCTGATGGCTGCTATTGATCCAATATATAAATGTATATGTATATAGGACCAAGCCAGAAAAAACACCCAAAGGACAGGCTAAAGCAAATATTAGGTGAAGCCAAAGACCCATCTAATTCCTCTCCTACATTTTTGTTTTAGGTCCATTTTACTTGCTCACGAGGTGATTGATGTTTTTCTATATAAAATGTTTTCTATTAAACAGCTGTATTTTCAAAGACTCTACCAGGTGTAGGTCCAACAATCTTCACCAGTGACCCAAATGAATTTAAATTTCTCTTTTAGAATAAGTACTCAAATGAAAAAAAAAAAAAAAACCCAACTCAGAGTTTTTATATAATCATACAGTGTCAAACTTTAGTTAGAGCTAATATCCTAATACATAGAAAAAGGGATAGAATAAGGGTGTGCATAGAAGACATCACTGGGAGGACTAAATTCCTACAAAGAAAAGCTTTATATAACTCATTTAGATCTTAGATTTTTATATAATACAAATAAATATGAGATACAAGTATATTTTTAACATGTAAAAGTGAGCACTAGAAACAACTTATCTATTTCAGAGGTGTTATAATACCTCCCCCCCTTTTTTTCTAGATCCACTCTGGTATGAAATGTTAAAGACTTAATAGATCCAGAAACATTCTTAAAGATTATGCTAATTATTAACAGGTTTCATTGACAATAACAAACTAGTTTTGATCCAAAAAATGACTCTGAGATATCCAAAAAGGCTCACGTCTAGAAACAGTGAAAAGGGTATCTTAGGAATGCAGATTTAAAGAGAAAGCCATGTTAATTTGTCAGCTTTGAAAATTGATCACCAATTAAGATTAATTTAGTTACTTTTAAAATTTTCACCAAAACTTCTGTTGGTGCTTTCCCTAGGTTGTAGCTATGTAGTATTATTCCCACTTTACAGATTAAGCAGCTTTATACACTGAGGTAGAAATTTAAAGAAGCCCAATAACTAGCTTTTTGAACTCACACTCTCTATAGAATTAATCCTTTTAAAAAAAAAAATGGGGATGCTGGGTGGGAAGAGACTGGTGAGGAGGGAATAGAAAGTGAATTGGTTTGCTACTAATTCAGTGTAGGAGAGATCATTATTTTAAATAGTGGTTTTAAAGAGCTATTGAAGTTGCAAACACATGGCATTAGGATTAAGACACATGGGACCATGACTCTTCATTCAATGGCATGGTTAATTGTGGCCTACCAGAATTTCTACTCTAAAACTCCCGCACAATATTTTAAGAAGTGAAAGAAATTAGGACAGTCAACTCTCAAACTACCACTTTGAAGCACTTCATCCCAGGCATCCATCTATCCATCTCCCTTCTTTCATTTTGTTTTCCTTTCTGTTCTGTTTCATTCTTGCCTTCCTTCTCTGTCTCTCTCTCTTGGGGCTAACTTTACATCAATATTCTCCCCCTGCCCCCAAGGACTGGAGGTAACATAAAAAAAAAAGCATTGGATGGCCATTAATAAGAGGAGAGTGGTACTGAAAATGGTTTTTCTTTAAATGCTCCAACAAGTTTTTTCTTTAAAAAAGCCTTACTAAAAATAAAACTATGTAAAAATTCTGTCCAGAAAAGGCCCTTTAAAAGCACTTCACAGTGGTCCTCACCAAAAGAGACCCTGCAAGGAGGAATCAGCCAACATATATGGACCAGGAACTCTTAGAAGTAGGCAGGTGTGTGGGTGTTATTGGGGGTGGAGGGACCATAGTCGAGACTCAGTAAAATCATCACCATCATCAGGCAGGACCCTGTTTCAAAATCAGTAAAAGGATTAACCCACTTTTGTTTTTCTACAAGTATGTGGCTGACTCCAGTACATCTACCCACTCGGTGTATTGTCACTTGTAGATCACGGCCTGTCATACACAAGCTGTTATTTACAACAACATGTGAGATTCTAAGATTTCTTTGCCCTGGACCGGCCTGTTCTGCTGAGAAGGCCTACAACCTGCAGCGAGAACTTGAAAGGAAGAGAGGGGAAAAAACTCTTCTTTTCCCGCAGTCTCCAGGGTAACCCCGTTCCCTGGGGCCTCGCGGCTCCACCCTACCTTGAGAAGGTACTTGTCCACGATCTCCAGGCCGCAGCTGTTGCACACACACTTGCCAGGGGGACAGACGGAGCCCGAGGCCATGGACCGGGGCGAGGACGACGGGGACAGCGGCGCCGAGGAAGAGCACGAGTCCTCGTCCCCCGCTCCCTCGGGGCTCACCTGAAGGAAGCCGTGAGACGCAGCTGCAGGCGGTTCTAGAACCCCCTCCTCTCCTCATCCCAGCGGCCCACCGGGGCTCCCTACTCCTTCCTCCCCTTTCCCCCACGCCACCCCCAGTTCTTGAGGTCTCCCTTTTCGCGCTCCGCCCCCCCACCCACACGAGTCCAAGCTCCCGCCACGCACCCGCCACGGCTGTCGACCCTGGCCTCAAGGGCCCAAGGGTTCCTTACTTCGGTGCGCAAACCCGTCTAGCCCGCCCAGCGTTCCAGCCCGCCCTGGCCCAGGCCGTCCTTGCCCCCGCTCCCCGAGCGGCCGGCCAGCCGGGCCCACGGAGGGGCGCGCGGACAGCGGCTCTTCTTCATGGGCCGCCTCCACCCGTCCAGCCTCCAACACCCGCGCCGCTCCCCGCTCACCAGTCCCTCTTCCCCGGCGCCTTTCCGAGTCCGCCCGGCCGCCAGGGCTGCAATCCGCCCGCACTCCTCCGACATGAGCCCCGGGCACTGTGGGATGGGCGGAGGGGAAAACGAGGAAGAAAGGAGAGCAAAAGTTCAGAGCCGGCCGGCACAGCCCGGAGCCTCGGCCTCTGGGCACGCGGAGCCGGCTAATGAAGGCCCGCGGCGCGCCGGGCCGCGCGTGCGGCCGTCAGGGCTCCTGCGCCCCGGCGCGGCGGGCACACCCGCGGGAGCGCAGCCTGGCCGAGTGCGCCGCGCGCGGCGAGGCGGCCACCCCGGCGCTCAGGGCCGGCCCCGCGCGCCGCGGCGCCCTCGGGCTGAGGGTCCCCAGCGCGCGCCGGAGCCAGTCGGTTCCCCGCCCCCCGACCGCGGGTAACAAGTTAATAACAATCATCCCAGCACAAAGCATTTTCTTTCTAGACGTCAATCACGGCGGAGCGGGGATCACCAGACTAAAGCGGGTGCAAGGGGCGGGGGGGGGGGTGGGAGTGGGAGAGAAGAAAAGAGGATTGAGGAGGGGGGTGGGGGAAGAAACTTGATTTCTTTAATAACCTCAATTAAAAGAGCAAGACACACATATATTTTTAAAAGGGAGCTTTTTGAATTGGATAGCCCGAAAGGTGAAGAGGTTTAATAGGATACTTGAAAGCTAATTACAGCGGGATTTAAGAAGCCTGGTGTTTGTTCCGATGACAATTTGAATGAAAATGCTTCAGATTAAACCGAGCCAGCAGCTCTTTGTAAACTTACAGCAATTAGAGCTGCGAGTGATTTACACTCGTTTCTTTAAGGTGTAAATTGCCACTTATTGCTCAGTAAGTCAACATTTGAGCTACTAAAGAATTATTTTTAACCGGCGCAAAAAGCGGGTCGAATAATGGAAAATATCCAGCTGAATTTAATTTGTGCCATTAAAACTCACCCAACCTCGGTCAAAATGTTTTAAAGCAACAGCGCGCATTACTCAAGTGTTTCCAAGCCTTTGCTGGAGTTTTGTTCTTAAACGAAAACGCAACCTCTCCTAGGCTTTTCTGCCTTCGTTTACGAAAACTCCTGTTGGCGGGGAGGGGGTGCCGAACCCGAGCGGCCCACACCTGCGTTTCTGACTCTTCGCCTCCTCGTCCTCCTTCTGGCTGCACCAGGCGAGACACCGTCCGAGCCTGGGAGTCCCCTCCCTCAGCGGGGAGCCTCCGGTGCGCTCCCGGGGCTGGACCCCGCGCCGCCCCACGGAGGCCGCATTCCCGCAGACAGAAAGAGAGTTTACGCAACGAAGCCCCGCGCTCGCCGGGTGTTCCCCGCCAGTGTCCCAGCAGGATCCAGTCTGTGGGACCCGGTGCGGGACCCTCTGACGCGCTCGAACAGGCTGCGGATGATTTTCAAACTTAAAACGCGAGACACCCACGGGTCCTGCCTCCAGAGTGACGTGAGAGCTTGTCAGTTTCCCCCTCTACTAGACTAGACGAAAGGTGTGACTTGAGTACCCTGGGGTTTGCTTTTTTTTTTTTTTTTGTATTTTAAGTAAAATGGCCCTCCTGGCCCGCCCTGGGATGCCCCAGAGCCGTCCAGTGGCCACGAACCCCTGTGTTCTGGCGAGGGCCCGGGCCCGCGCGCGCGGCTGGACGCAAGCAGCCAAGCCTCGGGTCCCACCCGGCGGCCGCCCGGACCTCCCGACTCGCTCTTCCCCACCGCTGAGATCGCCACGGCAAATAGAACAAAAGCACGACTCACATGTACCCGAGAACGCCTTAGGCTCGAGGCTTCATCTCCCAAATTACAGTCTCCATGCCTCAGGTTAAGTGAGTTTGTGGGGAGGGGAGGCAATGATTACTGACTAACGCTACTACGTAATAAAAAAAAAAAAAAAAGCCAGCTCTGGAGTCGAGGCCGTTACAGGTAATTTCTGAACCTCGTTTAGGAGCCCCAACAGCTCGCGTTGTAAGGAAACTGCAATTCAGCTGGTCTGGCCAGACGTCGGCTCGCTCACCTTCTCAGGGGGAACTGCCAGCTCCGGCACGTACTGTTCTTCTAGTTTACAAACAAACATCTGATCGCTTTTCCAATACATGGCACTGCTAGGGCTGCTTATCACAGACCCACTCCAGAGGGTCAGCGGCCGTCCATGCCTGCCGATCTGCCCCCTCTCCCCCGCCGAAACGCGCTAATGAAAGCCGACTCCGAGAAGAGTAAGAAAGCTACAAGCAAGTCTTCGTCCAAAGAGGCCGCTGTGGCCGTTACCACTCACTGACGGACTGTTCCTAAGATTCCTATCCCAACTTCACTAAGCTCTGTCCCTCCAGGAAAGGAAAAAAAAAAAAAAAAAAAAGTTTTGTTTTCCAGAGGGTGGAACCTTACATAAAGGGAGGGAAGGGGGTGTGTGTGTATGGGGGGAGTCTTTTCCTGAAGGAATAGCCTCACCTCCTTAAGGAAAACCCGCCTTCTGTACATGTTAAGATCTTTATCAGGGCAAGCCAACTTACTCCAGATTTAGTATTAAAGAAAAAAAAAAAAACATTGGGAATGGCCTGTTAACTTTTGACTTTAAAAAAAAATCTGCTCTCTGCATTTGCCGTGGCTTTTTAATTCTCGCTCCCCAACCAAAACCTAAACAAAGATTCAGGTTACATCTCTTTCTGCAGCAAGCAGAAGGGGAAGCGGAGGTCTGAGTGACTTAAACTTTTTAGTCATTCTTCTGAAACATGCAGCTAGCTCTCTTGTGTAGCCGGGGAACTCGACCGCTCCCTGGCAGCCTGGGGGCTGACTTATCCAGCGGTTGGCGCTCCCTTTGCGAAAAGTTTTCTCATTAAGATAAAGAAGGAACATCTGAGCAGCACAAAAGCTTATGATTTGCGACTTGATTTGAAATCAAGGCTACAAGAAAGACAAAAGTATGTTGCTAATAGTATTGCTCTTTCATCTCGTCCTAGACAAAATTTAAGCTCTAGAAGGGACCAGCTCCTGGCTCAAATTTTGGCTGAGCGTTTGCGAATGGGGGCGGTGTTCTCAGAATACCGTAATTTTGATTAGGATTGGAGGTTATGTTTGCTTAAATAGCTTCTTTATGGTATAAATTTTACTTCACTATGTAGTATATAAAGGGGAATTTGGTAAGAGACTATTTAACAGTGATTTTTATATCCGATTTTCCCTTTATAAGAAACAAAACAAAGTGAAACATAAGTAATATAAGAATAACTGGGAGTCTCTGTTTCCTAAAGGGCTTTAGTAAAATCCTGTGGTGTTGCTTCAATTAGATGGACACACACACACAGAGATATATATATATATACATACATATATATAGTAATATTATAGATTCTTATCTCCTTGCTTCATTTGTCTAAAAGAGTAAGATGGAAGGGCTCTTGCCTAGACAGATCGACAGCAGGTTACAAGAGGGCAGTAGGCAGAGATAGGTAGCCTCTCCTGTAATGCAGTGAGTCTGTATAACAGTCTGGGACAAAACAACCACTGAAAATTTAGTTTTCCCTTAAGTACATTTTTCTCCCATAAACACGAGGGTCCCTAGAGCATTTTCCTATTGCCATTGTTTTCCTTTTCGTGCAGCTGCGCACACGTTAATATTAGCCATCCCCCTTCCGGTCCTTTTTGGGAGATCTCACTTAAATTTATGAAGGAGAGGGGGGATACAGGACACAGTGATCTGTGCCCTCTTACAGAATTGAAGGCTTGGGGTGCACTGCCTTCTTCTCAAAAAGCTAATCTGTGCGTGGAGAACAGAAAGTCTTGTGTTTTTCATCAAGTGCAAAAATTAGTATTCGGGGGGAAATCCACATAATGCGTTTTCCATGAAATAGCATCATCTCGAGATGGCTCTTCCGAATGGAAAGAGAGCTGTCGGAACATTGGCTCTATCAGGCCTTGCATAGAGAGGATTGAAAAATTTAAAGATCCAGTTCAGAGATTTAGTTACAGTTTCGATTTATTAGGGTCTGCAAAGTGAATCTGGGGTACTGTTTGGCTACTATCCGGGGGAATTAATCGCGCGGGTCATTTGGAGATCCCGAGAGCGCTTTTGAGCTGTTTGGGGAAGTAGGGCGGGGGCGCGGGCGTTTATGCGGTCTTTCCACCCACCCTTGCCTAATCAGTCGGCTCGGCTCTCAATCAAGTTTTCAAAATACTAATCTTGATCTAAGAGCCCCTATCTCTGCACCAGTGGAGGAAATGATTCACTTTTAGAAGCTTCTGGGCATGGGGAAGAGGAATGGCCCTTAGACATAAGAAGACCTACAAGAGTGGTCTGGCGTTCGCTTATCTGCTGACGCACTGCCGGACGCGGACTTTTCCCGCGACGGGATTGTGCGCCCACAGCCTCTCTCTGTAGGCCTCCCGGCGGTGAGTCTATTTCAAACGTGTGCTCGGCTCTGTAAGCCTTTGGCTGGGATCGCGTGCGGAGGTGGGAGGAGGGGGTGTGCAGGTACTTGCCGGGAATACCCGGGCTGGGCGTCCCATTGGTGCTGGGCCCAAGCACCTCCTGACCTTTCGTCAGGAGTGAGGACACCGAGGGGTCGCTCCTGAACGTGGCGCGGCTTCTTGGCGCTCGCGTCACACTTCTCAGCCACGCTCCTCCTCCGTTGGGGCAAAGGGAAAGTTCGCCCGCTGCTTTGCAAAGTTAAGTTCCTGTGCTAAAAATCAGGGCTATTTTTGTATTTGTAAGAAGGGCTTTTAGCCCAAACTCCAATGGAACCAATTTTGGTCGAAGGAAGACGCACCAAAAAACAGCATCTTGTGTTTCTGCAGGTGGGAGAGGAATCGCCTGCGTTGGGGCGACTCCTACCTACTAACTTGAAATTCCTAGATGGCCTTAAATGAAAATCCTTAAATGAAAATCAGAGACCGCAATCCCACCCAGAGGACGAACCAAAACCGGCGGATTGCAGGGCTTTTTGCAAGGCCCGTGGTAAAAACCCCAGAGAGGCTTGGGAGGACGCCCTGGCGAGCCGGGAGGCGCAGGGTGTGTCTTCCTAAAGCCGGAGGGGGGTCAGGGAAGGGGTCTGGGTCCCCTGGAGCCAGGCCTTGATTGGAGG